GTACCTAAAAATTCCATATGCACTATTCTTTTTAGCAAATTTGCACAAGGGTAGAACATTAGGATCCCACCTTTATTTCCAGTGTTTTCCTGGAAGCCACAAGTATGGTTTATGGTGCAGAAACCAGGCCTGAGCCTTTCATTAACTCCCCCTGCCAGACCCTTCTCTCAGCTCCTCTGCAGTCACTGAGTGTCCCCTGGTGGCTAACGGGCAGGCTCACCAGAAGTGAGCTCTTGGCCAAGACCCTGTATGAATGAGGCAGTGGGGGTAGAGTTGTTGGTGTTTTAGGTCCAAGAGCACCGCCATTCTTTCTGATTAAACATCAAAAACACTTGAGAGAGGAATGTTGAGCTCAGAAAAACTAAAGTCCAAATATCTGCCTTGGTGCTGGGATGGAAGGGGCTCACCTATGCAGCTGTGGCTGGCCAGTGTCCCTCTGAATTGAGTGTGCCAACCTTGATCCTCCTGTCCTAGAGTGGCCAACTCTCCTCCTGAGTGAAGAGTCTGCTCCTAGTTGTGCTGTAATTCTGTGCAGGAGACTGGAAAGCATCTTCCTCACAGGTGGAAAAACATGAAAATCAGCTTAGAGGGCCTAAACTGAGCATGCCTAGCTCTTCCTTCAACATCGCAGTCAGATCACTCAGTTTTCCCACTAGGGAGAAGAATGAGGGGAAGAAACACTGCCCATCAAGGGCAGCTCTCCAGGGAATAGCCATTTCCCCTAAGATGCTCAAGGCTTGCATGGCCCTCACACCTGGGACTCAGCCATTACAGGGTGGGCCAGGAGGGGAGCAGGCTGTGAGGACGGTGTGGCTCCCACCTTCTGGAGGTGTCTCCTTCAGAATCAACCACTGCTCCCCTGAATATAGCTCTGGCTCCAGAACATACGAAATGGTTCATGACAGTGTGGCAATTAAGTAAATTAAAGGCTTTAGCCCTGGCTAAAAGGCTCAGAATTAGCTTTGTATTCCTCTTTTCTTTCTCAGTCATTTCTTTCTCAGTTTTTTTTATTAGTTCTAATCAATTTTACATGACAGTAGAAAGCTCTTTGATTCATTGGACACAAATGGAGCAGAATTTTTCACTTCTCTGGTTGTACATGGAGTAGAGTCACTCCATTTGTGTG